TCTCTTTCTTCCTCCTCTCTCTCTCTCTCTCTTACTCTCACTCTATCTCTCTCTCTCTCTCTTCCTCCGTGGGAGTCTTTTGATGGGAAGATGATGAACAGGTCCAACTCTGCTGAGGCTTTTGTCCCTTCCATGGTGTCCTTTGCTGGGCTGGAAGGCAACAACCAAAAGCGCCACCTTTGGGACTGGGCGACGGCCTCCCACAACCTCAACGCCGCTGTTCCCACCACCAACCACGAAGCTATCGACCTCCAAAGCCGCCCAATCTTCCCTCCTGCTCCCGCCCTGGATTGCCCGCCTCCTCTCTTCCCCATGAACCACTTCGCCTTCTGTCCACCTCCGCCCGTGCCGGATTTCCCGGTGGCGCTCATCAAGACGGAGGATGGCATCGACAGCGGAGGCCGAATCGGTCTAAATTTGGGCCAAAGGACCTACTTTTCGTCCGGGGACGGCCTCGAGATGGACCACCTGTTCGCGAGGTCGAGAGGCGTGTATTCGCTGAGCCACCAGCCGCCGCGGTGCCAGGCCGAGGGGTGCAAAGCCGATCTCTCCGGCGCGAAGCACTACCACCGCCGACACAAGGTGTGCGAGTTCCACTCCAAGGCCACCGTCGTCATCGCCCATGGACTGCAGCAGCGGTTCTGCCAGCAATGCAGCAGGTATGATCCGTTTGTCAGCTCCATTACGAAGACTAGAAGAAACATGAATCCACATACAAATTCCACACCCAATTCATTCTTCCTTCAGCCCAAAAGATCCCGTGTTTCCATGTCTTATGCTCCCTATGTTTGCTTGTGGAGCGTGGGTGCAATGCAGCAGATGAAGTTGGAGTTGCAAGACCTCGATCACCCCCTGATCATTTGGACATGATCAGTAGTAATATTCCCAGCAACAGCAATAAATGTGTCCTAGAGTTCAGTACATTTTCTAGGATAATGTCTTCGCATGCTTGAGCTAGTTTACAAGGTTCTAAAAGTCATGTGAACTATATAGCCTTCACATTGCCCTATTCTATTTTGTTTTATCCTTAAAGTATGGAGACCAGTGGCACTAACTGCAGAACCCAATGCTTTTTTCTCTGTGAATCATATGAGCATGAACCAGCAAACCACAGTTCCTTGATAGAGAAAGTGCTCCTCCATCTCCATATGTTCTCCATGAACATTATTTCACAGCTAGCATCTGGTGCTTTAATGACTGCACCTACCCTTTTCTCCACTGGTTAGAATAGAAATTAAAGTTGTCTGTTTAAGGACCGGGTTCTCCCCCCTCTTTTGTAGCTTCTACATCTTGGTTTGATGCAGGCATCCTTTAACTCTACATGCTCCTCTTTCTCATGTTGGAGAGAGAGAGAGAGAGAGAGAGAGAGAGAGAGAGAGAGAGAGAGAGAGAGAGAGATCCTTGTAGAATTGGATGTTTGGCCATTTTTCCTATTAACAGATAGGGGTCTCTTCTCTCTTCCTCATTCTCCTCCAAATGGTGGCCAGGTTCCATGCGCTGGCAGAGTTTGATGAAGCCAAAAGGAGCTGCAGGAAGCGCCTGGCCGACCACAACCGCAGGAGGAGGAAGCCTCAGCTCGCAACAGGAATAGCAGAGTCCTCAGCCTCCGTGATTCCCACAGCCAACTCCAATATTGAGAAGACCAAACAGGCTCAAGACATCAGTAATGATCTGAAGTCCCCATCTTTTATAATTCTTTTTGCTTTGCGCAGTCCTTCCTATTAAATCTCTGCTCTTCTCATGCTTTGACCTCCATTAACAGCACCAACCAAGTCCATAACTCCTGTTTATCTCACTGGTATTAGTACCAAAAGGAGTGGTCATTTGAGGAATGAACCAGCTTTATCTATAAGAGGAGTTGGGGCAGATGAAAGAAGAGGCATGGATTCTAACACCATGTACCAAAGTCAAGGAACCTTAGGTGCAATGTTGGAGGACAAGTTCCCACAGCAGCAGCACATCTTCTCCCTCTCAGAATCCAGCGGCACATTCTTCCACCACCACAATCCCCCCTTGAGTTCCGATTCTAATGAGGCCACCCAGTCCACAGGAGGTTGTTCAAGCCACAGCACCCACCTTCAGCAAGCCAATCTCCTCCACCTTGGACAAGCCATGTTTGAACTGGACTTCATGTGAGAGGAGGCAGACTCTAATGAATGGATCAGCAATTGCTAGCTCTGATGCAGCAAGAAGGATTTTATTCTTTCTGATCTCTTCTTCTCTATCTTCAGTTGGTTCCTTTGCAGAAAATTTGTGTAGGATGTGCTCAGATCCCCCTCCCCTCCCCTCCCCTTTTCCGTTTCTATGAATTCAAAGGATGGTGTTCAAGATATCTTGTGCCGTTTTAAGATTCCCCAGGCATGCATGGTGTTTGTTGAAATTATATAATCCGAGAATGCGGAAGCATGGAACAGATCTCTTCTTCTCTCGATGAGGGATGCGAGCTTGCTGTCATATGTTTTTATGAAATAAATATAAAAAGGCTAAACCACAAAAAATAATTAAAAAAATCGAATTCTGTTTGTTCAAGCTATTTTTTGATTTTTGATTTTTCTTTTATTTTATTTTGCCCTTTACACCACTTAGTTCAACTTCGCCATCCACTTTAAGTGATGAATTGGATTTCTCTCGGAAGCCAATTTTGATCTTTAGCACTTAATTTTTTTGTTCTCCTTAATTCTCTTTCAAATACCGGTCATATAATAGATACGTGTGGTACGTGTACATACATCTCCCGTACGTACGTACGGCGTGGTGTCCGGGGAACCGGTTAAGCTCACGAATCTTGTGCAGCTGTTGACCGGTCCATAGCACTGCAGCTCTGATACGAAGCGTCGTATTTTGACCTGCTTTGCCTGATCATCTTCTTCTTCCTCCTCTTATTCTCTGTTTTGATTCGTCTGAAGCACACAGCGGCGTGCTGCGTGTGATCATTGAGAACAAAGCTGCAGCTTTTGCACAGGAGTAAAGGAGGAGCTATTCCATGAATACAAACATACGTACGTTGCATGAGTACTGCTTCCTCCCGTGCTATCATCTCCTCCAGCACATAAATCGAACTGTGTTTTAGAGGATCACGTCCACGGTGCATGCAGCTGAAGCTACAGAGTGGAGTGTCTTGGAAGCTGCCGATGGTGGTAGGTGAGAAATGAAATGGGAGACAGCAGCAGTAGCAGCAGCTCTCGTTCATCAATGGTGAAGGGCTTAGCAGGGACGCCCGGCAACGCAGTTACTGTCACATGGGAGTTCCTTCGATTTGGACGGTGGTACTACTATTCAAGCAATTTACGTCCGAAGAAGAGCCCGGAATGCCTTGAGGATCTAAATACCCCTTTTGGATGCCAATGTTGCATTCAGGTTCTCATTGTGGCATTAATCCTAACAAAAATATATCATCTTTCTTAACATATATGGTGAACTCGATACTTATGTGAATTATTCTTTAGAAAAGGAAGGAGCACTAGATTAAAAATTATATATCAAATGTGATAATAATAATAATATAACCCCAAAATCACATCTCCTCGGAGGTGGGAGGGCCAGTGGTTGATAGCACTGCACTCTTAGTGGCCCCCCAAGTGGACCGTAATATGGGGCCCAGTAATTTTGGGCTTCTGTTTATGGCAACTTCTATGCGGGAGTCGAACGCCGCCTCGCTCGCTCGCTCGCTGCGTTCCCCTCCCCGACTTTATGCGCTCTCCCATTTCTCCCGGTCGAGCGGCCGAGTCGAACCCTAACCCTGGAATTTTGCTCCTGAGGTTGGGCGGAGGGATTCCAGCGCTCCTGAGGTTGTTGCAAGGGGAAATGGCCGAGGCTGCCATGGCCTACACGGCTTCCCGGCAGCTGCCGCAGTTCATCTTTGCCGTCGCCTTCTTCCACTCCTCGGAGTACGCGCTCGCCGTCTTCTACCACGGCCGGTCCAATGTTACCTTCAGTTGTGAGTGCCTTTTTTTTCCCTCTCTCATTCGTCTTGGAATTTGGAGCCGTTGTAGTTCGAGAATTCCTTGGATCATCTTGCGTTCATTTGCGAAATCGGAGGATCGGGAACTGAATTAGAGCGGAGAAAGTGTGAAAGAAAGGAAGACTGAGGTGACTCTAATCATGCGTGAGAGGGGTATTCTGGTTGGCTTATTTTCTAGGGTTTTGAGTAGATAATTAGAGCATTTTCCAACATCTGGCTGCGATTAGCTTATTCCTTTCACTTTATTGGTTTTCGATTTATTGTCTCACTTTCTGGTTAGTGGAATGGTTAGACAGCATGCAATTTTGTTTTACATTATAAGAAATGATTGCCTTCGATTCCTGTTATACAAGTACTTTACAAAAGTGTCATTGTAAAATAAATGTTAATTGTTTTTTATGCTTAAACTTAGGTTTTTTGTTTTTCCAATTACTCTACGGTTAATATCCGATTTAATCTCTTTAAGAAGCCTCTGGTATATAATGAAATGCTTGTTGTGCAGCACTTCTGATTAGCAAGCAGTATGTTGTTGCAATGGTTTGTGCATTGCTGGAATATGCTATAGAGATTCTCCTCTTCCCAAGGTTGAAAGAGTATTGGTGGGTTAGCAACATTGGGCTTGTGATGATATTAATTGGAGAGCTTATACGTAAAGCTGCAGTCATAACAGCTGGCCAATCTTTCACACATCTGATTAGAAAATATCACGATGACCACCATGAATTGATTACTCATGGTATCTATAGGTCAGTGAGAATGTGCATCTCAATGTGATAATTTATTTTTGATGCTCAGTTTTAGCTTTGGCATATATCAAGAGTGACTGACAATGGTGCTTCCTCATATAGAATATAGGTTGTTTTTAGTAACAATTTATCTATTTTCCCTTTGTTACTGGAACCAGGAAGAGTAATTATTTTTTGTTTTTTTTATGTTGATTGGCAACTTTATGGTGCATACCATATCATTATTACCTTTTATAAGTACAAAGAAAGGAACACCTTCATTGTTAAGTGTGCTATGATGATTCATGAGACTGGGCTGAATTAATACTATCATCACCTGCCCTGATATCAAAGTCTCCTTGTGTAGAATGATGAAATATAAGAAATAATTTTCTTCATCATATATTCTAGATGTTGTTTTTCCCTTTTGCTCTCATCACTTGTGTGCGCACTTGGATTACAACCTTCTTTATTAGGTTCCCATCATATGAATGATTTCTGAATATGTAATTAGTTTGGGATCTAAATTTGGATTGAGATAATATTTGTGTTCTCATCTCTTACTTTCTCTGGTTGGTTGAATTTTTTTCCTAGTTTTGGGACCTAGATTTATATCTGCGGAGTTTAATTCAAAGTTCACTAATTGATGCCTCTGAGTTCCCTTACCAGAAAATTTGTGTGATTCAAAGACAGCTCTCCCTTCAATAAAAGGATTAAGGTCTGATTTAGTTAAGTCATTATAAGTATAGACCATGAAAGATATTAGAAAAGCCAGATAGAGCTGCTGAGAAGAGACATCCAGAAGGCTGGATGACCAGATCTTTAGTTCCAATATGTAAGGTAGAGACTTATGATATTTTGAGAAAGCAAGAAAAAAGCTACATTGATTACTTTATTTGTAGTTATATATTTATGGTTGAAATTAAGATTTATTCCACCAATCAAATAAGATTTCTTATATTTTTGGTAATGAATTAAATTGATTATCATTCACATTATATATCTTTAAACCTGATTTATGATTTAGAATTAGTTATCAAGTTCTCATGAACTTGAAAATTAGCAACTGCAAGCTTGCAGCTCTTTTACAAATGGTTGTTTATTGTTTCAAAGGAGAGTATAATTTCTCTGGCAATTTAGCTTGAGCCTTTGTAGTAACCTTTTTTAATATTGCACATCAGTGTTCTCTTGACTATCATGGACTGTTATTTTTTTAATTTCCACTGATATAATCAACCATGTAAATTCTGTTTATGAATAGGATAACCATTTGAAAGAAACTTGTAACTTGCTTCATGGTGTGGTTTATGCCGATGACTCTTCAAATGCATATTTTTCGTCACTGCCTGGGAATCCATATCCACTTGTCCATGTTTCATGCTATTTGTCATGCATTTGGTACCAGCAAATAAGATTTGCTGACATCTTACTATTGTGACCAAGCAGATTTGTCCGCCATCCTGGCTACACTGGCTTTTTCATCTGGGCAACTGGAACACAGATCATGCTATGCAACCCGGTGTGCATCATTGCTTTTATAGTTGTTGTTTGGCGATTCTTCTCTACACGAATACCGTATCCAATTTGTCAAAGAATTATATCTGAAATATGATTGCTTTCTCTTAATTGATTATTTCCAGACTTCTCTAGGGACTATTTGTTAGTGGCCTTCGTGTCGTGCTACAGCATTTAGCATGATTAATTTTCACATTAATTGAAATCTGCAGGTTTCTAGTTTGGACAAATATCATGAGCCTTTTGATCCTTAACCGAGGAACAGATATGAAGAGTTTTTCTTGAGGCAATTCTTTGGGTTTCAGTATGTAGAATATGCAAAAAGAGTGCCATCTGGTCTTCCCTTCATCAGATAAACCTATAAAAGCGGGAGTATTTTCAAGTACTTCTCTCAGTATTTTGTTCATCTTATATCTGCTAGCTCCTTTGTTGAGTCACATGTAATTTGTAGAGATTACTCGTGAATCTCTTGATGCAGGTTACCTTATTTGTGTCGACTCATGTAGCTACCCAGGGAAACAAATTCATCATCTCATTTTTGCCTTCCTCAACTTTGCTGGAGAAGGAAACTGTGAACCTAGGATCCATCCATAAGAATCTGTGTAACATAAGTGATGTGGCCAAGGTGTCGAAGCTTCTAGTAGCTTCCTGGATCCTTCACATTATCTGAGAGTAAAACACAAGAAGGGGGGTCATCTTCATCTAAGATATGTTGTTTTGAAGTGCTGTAATCTGAATAATCCTTGTAGTACTGGAAGTTTTCTGGTTTCATTTGGTGGTCTTCAATAGAGAGGTTCTTTAACTTTTGATAATCTAAAAGTGGTTTCATCGCCATCACCTGAATAGATTAATCAGTAGCCGTTCAAGTATCATGAAGTCAATGATTTTGATGTTACTTTTTATTTGAAGGGCTCCTTGAATGAGCCTACTTGCAGCAATCATCCTTATTTCTTTTATGTCTCTAAGGTAGACTAGCAGGATGCTAGAACGTGGATTACAACATGAACATAGTTATCAGGAAATAGGAGGAAGCCTGAGAAGAACTAGCTTTTTTGGACTCTTCATCCTGACGATTTCATTTGTGTAAAATTAGCATTTTGTCCGCTATACATTTGTTGGGATGCATATTTGAACAGCAGTAGCAATTTGGAGACTTAAGTTAGTTGACTATTAGTATAATAACGTGGAAGCTTCATATGATGTTAAATATCTTTCAAAAATATCACATGCATACCTACCTACACATCAGCTATTCTTGTATTTGTTCCTTTCAATTTTTTTAAAGACTTTTTTTATTTTTATTTTTTTTTAAAGACTCATTAATAATCATGATAAATAGTGGCTAATCTATGTTTTTATGAATGAATGCAAAAAAAGGAAGTGGCCTGCGTCAAAGGTTTAATATTTAAAATATATAGGATGAGTTCTTCGGAGAAGTCCTTCATTTGGGGCTTTTCCTCCAATTTTGGTTTTATCCCACCGGTGTTTTCATTTTTCTTATACCAAAATGCCTTTGGTAGGATATGATAATCTCTTTTTTTTTCTTATGCCAAAATGCCTTTTGATAGAATATAAGAATATCTCCCACACTTTCATGATAGTTTCTTTTTCTTTTTGAACTTTTTACGTCGCTGGATAAGTCTATAAGGTGGACCAGTTTGATTATAATTTTTTTTGGTAGATGTGTCAAAAATATTATAATTGATATAAAAAATATTTTTTATCATATTTTTATTCCTAAATAAATAAGAATACAAATTTGAAATCTCACCGGATGATGAATTGGTTTGTAGTATACTTTTGTTCTTTAGCTTATTGTAGAGGTAGCAAAAACATTATAATCATATTAAAAAATACTGATATAAAAGCTTATTTTTTAATATTATTCATCCATAACCAATAAAAATACCTATTTAGAATCTCGCAAAGGAGATAAGTTGGTTTATGTTTGTTCCCTATTTACATGGTTTTTCTATAGGTCTTTAGTATTTTTATGAATGAATATATTAAAAATATTATAATTATATTTAAAATGCTATAAATTAACTAATTCAGATCAGTCCACTAAAAACAAGAGTCTTTTTATTAAACCTGTGGCCATTTTACGAATACATAGAATGTGAGGGCATTGATAGGAAAAAAAATTATTAAAGGAATGCATCAACAGAAAAAAAAAACATTTTACCTAAAATAGGTCTAACTATTGGACTTATAGGAAATGACTCTTCCTTAATTGATTTTAACCATAGGACATCTCTTTTCCATCAATATAATAAAAATATTCTTTTATCTCCATCAGTCACTATTGTCACCTTTATTGCCCCCTGCTCCCATCACGAGCGGCAACACTCCTCTTTCCCCATCATTCATCATCTTCTCCCGTTTCTCCTCCTTCCTTATTATCTATCGTCTTTTCCCATTAAAGACAGAAGTGAGGAGGGAGAAGAAAAGGAAATGGGAGGGGGAGAATGGGTGATGTTGCTTACTGTGTGAGCTAGGGGAGGAAGCAGTGGAGACAGAGATGTGTTGCTGATCAGGAGCGATTGGTGAAGAGGAGAGAGATATTTTCGATAAATTGATGAAAAATTATTTTTAAGTAAAAACCCAATAGTAATAGTTTTTTTTTCAATAATATATCAAAAAACTTAATTTTCATATATATATATATATATATATATATATATATATATATATATATGGGGAAGAGAGAGAGAGAATTAACTTCATCACCTAAAAGATGGAGGCGAGAGATACAATTAACAATGCCATAAAACGTTTCTTTCATCTCATGTACTCCAGGGAAGAGGTTTCTTATTACCTGTACACATGAAGCTTGTAACATACCATACAATCATCCTACAGTTCTTGTGATCTTATAAGATCGTGAGCTGTGGAAGAGCTAATACTAATCTAAAGCTTTCTCTAATTTCTCTTTGGTGGTTTCCAGAAGTTCCTCTGCTTTTTTCACGACGACAGCCTCCGACATGATCGGTTCCTCTGCTTGATTCGCCACCGTCTCCGTCTCCGTCTCCGTCTCCATCACAGGTTTGGTCAGCATGTCCCACATGACTTGCACATCTTCGTATTCACACGTCTGCACTTCATCATGGAGCTCAAGTATCCCTCTACCTGTCCAAAGGCAAGAAGAACATGGTTGGCGTCGATCTTTTCTTTTACAGCAAAACTTGGAACAACTCTAATAACAATCTGTATCGACAGAAATGATTCCAAGGGAACTTATATTGAACGGCCAAGCTGTGTTTTTGTTTGGATTGAAAGAAACGGAAAGAATTGTCATCTCATTCTTCACGTATATTTTATGTTCTTCCTGTGACAGAAGATTTGGAGTTTCTTCTTTATTTAGAGGAAGAGATTAGCGTCATCTTCCCTACTTGATCTTTTCTCTCTTCTCTCTGCACATGCAGTAAGCGGAGGAACAGATGGAGGGAGAACGGCGAGAGTGCAGATGGGCGAATGTTCACCTTGCCGCGGGGACCTTAGGCAGCAGGAGACGGCGTACCAAGCTCGCTTGAGGTGGAAGACCACGTTCCTGTACCACCGAGACATCATCACCACCTCCGCCGCCAGTCCGCAGGAGTACAATCAACCACAGACAATCCTTCTGCTCCAATGAAGAGATGATCGCTGGTTTCTCCTCCTACTCCGTCGTCATCACGATATAAGAGAGGTGGAAGAGTGCGGTGGTTTGGCGAGTCTTAATGGTAAATAGTGCGTAGGTAGGTAGGTAGAAACGGCTACAAATCAAGTCCTAAGAAGGAATAATAGGAAAATGGTGTAAAACATGCATTGCAACCCTTCCCATATTATTCTTTTATATATATAACATAAAATCACATGTATCCCTAAAATTTTTGTAATTATCCCTCTGAATTAAATTTAAATTATTATTATATTAAAGTGATCTCAATTATTTGAGATATTACGGTTTCTTATTAGTATTATGTAGTTAATTTTTGTCACATGATTATCCATCCAAATCATAAAATACTTAAGTCCAAATTCATCATATCAAAACAAGTGATTTTTATATTATTATTTTAATGAATATAAATTTATCATGCTAACATCAAGAACTTAATTAATGACTATTAGCATAATAATTTTAAACTCAAATTAATATCAATATGCTTTAAAAATATTAAATCCTTTAAATATTTATATTTTAATATTTTCTAATTCTAATATATGAAAGGTTTAGAATTTTGAAAGGATCATATGTATATTCCAAAATTTTGATATATATAAATATATATATATATATATATGTATATGTATATGTATATGTATATGTATATGTATATGTGTATATACACATATACATATACATATACATATACATATACATATATGTATATATATAAAGGGATAAATATGTTATTTTTAAATATTGATATTGAATTCTAAATTTTGATAATAAAATTAATTAATAAATTTGATAAAATAATTTACTGTTGAGATATAATATAAGAAACACTTCAACTAAGGACTTGGGCCACTTAAAAGATCAAATGTGGACCTGAAGAATCCATTATCACATTCGAGGATCATCGAGTCGAGGAGTTAGATGTTGAGTTAGAGAAATGGTCAACATGCTAAAGATCAAACATTAAATCAGAGAATTGGACGATGTGTTGAAAGATTTAATGACATAACAAAAGTAGCAATAATGTATCGAAAAACTTTGACAATATGCTTGATAAGCGATTGATGAGTCAAAGTCTTGGTCAACTGATTTTGAGCTAATTTGAGTTGATATCTGACTAAATGGAGCTTATGAAGAAAGCTTATAGCAATAATTGGGCTTGAAGTTAGGCTAAATTTTGACTGGGCAAAATACTTGGCTTAAACTACCTACAACAATGATGGTATCACTTATAGTAATTATAGTAATATGAAAGTAAAGATTTGCACCTCCATATTATGATGATAGTATTGTTGTAAAAGATTGACCATAAATGTTCTCTTCTAATCATAGAAAAAAAGAAAGTTGTAATAAGAGTAGTTGATCTTTATATGTTAAAAGGAAGATAATTAGTAGAAGCTAATTGCCATGAGGGTAAATGAAACGGGAATGGTTGTAGGTTGAAAAGACTAAATCACTATAAATCGGTGTGTCATTCATTCTTTTATTTATTCTTTTGTTCGTGATTATTTACTTATTATCATTCATTTCACGTGTAATTCTTATTATATGCTCAATAATTCATTAATCATGCTTTTAAAACATGTTTTTCTCAACTAAAATTTAAAATTAATTAAATTTTACTTAAATACTAATTCACCCCCTTATGGTCTTAGTGTCATTAAGATCCTAACAAACATTTTATTAATTTAATTAGCATCCAAGAGAGGTCTAATGATTTCTCTAGACAATCAAGAGGGTCACCGTATTATATGTTATATATTCAATCAGATGAATTACATATATTGAAAACTAGAATGATGATTTTTTAGCTTTTTATATATTATGATTTATAGAATATTATTGAGTATAGTTTTTAAATATTTGATAATGATATTATCTTAGTTACTGAGAGATTGAGTAAAATTAATTATAAACTTAAGTTAATGAGGTAATATTTAAAAACTAAAAGTCTTATATTAAGTAGGACTAAGATTGAATATATAAGATACAATTGGCTTATGATCCAACACTTAATTTAAATAAACATATTAATGTATCTTATGTAGCTGAAACTAAATCAATGATGCTACTTGATGCCAAGGGGAGACCTATAGGGAAATCTAGGGGTGACATCATAAGCACAACGAAAGAATATAAAAATGAAATCCCCAAAATTTTCAAAGATGTATTCGTCACTATGCGAAGATTAGTGTGTAAAATTCACAAAACTGAAAACCACGCGTGAGATAGTTGTATTACCTAGGGAGATCGTATATCCTTGAATCTCTACAGATCTGTAGGAGAGGATAAAGGAGTTTAAGCGTCCTCTCTAGCGGTGATCCACATAGTAAAGCTGCGACCACACTCCTAAAATCTCTAGGCTTGCTATCTAAGGAGGAGAAAGGGAGAGGAGAATATGAGGTGACAACCAAGAAAACCTCTAGCCTATGGGTTTTTGGTTCCTTTATATTTATAGAGGCTCCCTATCAACTTAACCATAATGGACCCTGTCCTATTGAGTATTGAATTTCTATCTAACTACCCAAGCATCTTAGATTAGTGGATCTCTATCCAATAATCTCTCATTGGCTCTTATTGGATCTCATCCATAAGATCCAATAATTCAAAGGCTTATTGGATATCCAATAAGATAGGGGGTCTGGTGGATATATCATATCCAAACCTCTACTCGTCGCAATGCCTATCATATGTATGTGACCCTCTAGGCCCAATATCGAGCTAGCCGTGAGTCATAACTATTAGAACTCTTCCTGACTCAATGAATTATTATCTCCATAATAATTCATTTGACTCATCAACTACAAATGTACTAGGCCACTACGTCGTAGTCCCCAGACGATATAGGGGAATCCAATCCTTTGGACCTATTTATCCTTAGTTACAGTGTATCTATAGTCTCTCATCCATCTAATACCTTAGAGATCATATACCAGGTATGGTACTATCAAGCCCATACAGTTTCTACTCGAGTCTCACTCTAATCAGATTCTCCTAGAGAACTCTTTCTCTCTCAATCCGAATAACCTTGGCCAGAGATTTGTTTGAGCAAGAACACATGAGATATTCCTCTTATAACATCAAGAGCGGATGATCCTCTATCAACACTCAATAGTCCTCTTAAGGTTGGCTACCACTCTCGATGATCGGTTGTGCTAGATCTGGAACCTCCAAATCTATAAGTTAGGTATCAAAAAGTGGAGTACTCATATAGGACATCCTTGGCGTCTCAAGTCTAAGGACTAGATATATTACTGGGATGATGGAATAGCTATTTGATAATAAGGCATCATCAATCATCTAACATTCAGTGAGTGGATCAATCAGTGAACTTATTCTCCAATGAGCACCTGCATTATATCCTTAGTGTCCCCACACGAACAGTTATGAGACCAGCTGCATCCATCATATGGATGGGTATACAACACACTAGTTTGTTCGGTTATCTCGATGTCTCTCTCGAGTAACCTATGACCGGGATTATTTAGGATTTGTGTTTAAAGGCGAAATAGTCTCGTTATCGTGATCTCATCATGATCCGATTTCTATTGTACAAATCCATAAACATCACAATATATTCATACAACAAGCAAAATAAAGTGATAAAATATCAAATAATAATAATAAGTAAAAAGATTACGTGTAAAGTCACATGTGTCATCACTTATGTGATTGGATTAATTGGCTTGTAGGGCACTTATGACCAGCAATCTCCCACTTGACCTAAAGTCAATCACCTCGATGTCTGATCCCCATCAGACCCCTGTGATGCTCAAAGACAATTTGAGACGACGGCCTTGTTAGTGGATCTACGATGTTATCTTTGGATGGAACTCTTTCCATTACTACATCTCCTCGGGTCACAATCTCTCTGATCAGGTGGAACCTCCTCAGAACGTGCCTAGACTTCTGATGAGACCTGGGTTCCTTTGCTTGAGCAATCGCCCTGTTGTTATCGTAATATAAGGGAATCAACTTCTTGTTGCCCGGCATGACTCCTAAATCTGTGATGAACTTCTTCATACAGACTCCCTCCTTTGCTACCTCTACTGTAACAATGTACCCTGCCTCTGTGGTCGAGTCAATAGTAGTATCTTGCTTGGAACTCTTCTAGCATACTGCTCTTCCATTCAGGGTGTACACATACTCTCGAATTTGACTTGTTATCATCGACATCAGATTGAAAACTCGAGTCTGTGTAGCCTTCAACCCTAAGGCTACTACCTCAATATACTAGTAAAAGATCCTTAGTCCTTCTCAAGTACTTAAGGATACACTTTATTGCTTTCTAGTGCTCCAAGCCTAGATTCGCTTAATACATGCTTGTGACACTCAAAGTATGCGCTATATCAAGCTTGGTATATAGCATGTTATACATGATAGACCCTATCGCTGAGGTATAGGGTATCATATCCATGTTCGTCCTTTCTTTAGGAGTCTTTGGAACATATTCATAGAAAGCGATGTCCCATGTCTCATCGGTATGAGAACTCTTTTGGAATTTTTCATGCCAAACCTTTTGACAATGGTGTCTACGTACCTGGATTGGGACAAGTCAAGCATCCTCTTGGATTTATCTCTATATATCCAAATCCCTAAGATATAGGATGCTTCTCCTAAGTCCTTTATGGAGAAGTGTCTAGATAACCAATGATCAGGATGTCATCCATATATAACACCAAGAAGGTTATAGTGCTCCCACTTATCTTCCTATACACACAAGGCTCATCTTCATTCTTAACGAAGTCATAAGATCCGATTATCTCATTAAATCTTATGTTCCAACTTTAGAAGCTTGCTTTAGTCCATAAATGGACCTAAGCAACCTACACACCTTATCTGGGCAGTCCTTGGTCACAAATCCCTTAGGTTGTATCATATACACTTTCCTCTCGAGGTTGCCACTGAGGAATATGATTTTCATATCCATGTGCCA